ATTATTTTGAAATCGTTTTTCATTCATTAGTTTTAACGTTTCTCCCTGTGTTGATTTTAACATTCACCGTAGAAATCTTTTTATCGATTCTAAATTCTTTTCTTTAATTTTTTAACAAATTAAAATTTATTGAAACAAAACAATTACAGTTGACCAATGATGACAATTCCAGAACAACGTAACAATAAACAATGTTTTTCTATCCTCTGCCAGCCGCAATGATGGAGAAAGCATTACCTCAAACCATCGCCATCGAACTATTTTTTTCATCTCTTCGTCCCGGGCGACGGATCCTGGCTCAACCGCGGAACTGATCAAATTACCGACCGAAAATGTATCCGCACAGGTCGCATCCCAAATCAACGACTTCCCCATTTTAAAAGGGAAAATTGTAATTTCTTTAAATAATATTGTTTTTTTTTTTATACTTATAAATATCTCTTTTAGTGATGGATTACATGTTTTTTTTTTACGGCATATCAACCACAATGGGTTATTTACTGCCGCCATTTTTTTTTTTTTCAAAAATGTATAGCTGTGTACTAGTGGAATTCCCGCTTTGCTTGGGGTGAAATGATTAAAAAAATTACTCTTAGGCAGATGAGACTTTGGTTATTCTATTAATTTGTAATCTTTGACACTTTTTGGGTCTCAAGGAGAGCAATAGTCAGTATTGTAGAGGGTGAAAGACCTTTGCTTTAAAGCTTTTAAAGAATTTAAAACAATTCTCTGTCACTTTCTCACGGACATGACGGGGCTTCCCTTTGCCTTTTCTATAAATATTTTCATGGCGAACTTTTTTTCCATGTTGCCCCGACTACATAAATTTAAACGTTATACTAGATTGAAAACTAGATCTCACCGTTTTAATGTTAAAATAGCTAAATACAGCCGCCATTTCTATTCCAACAGTTTATTTTCTCGCACTTCCAGCCCGTGGAAGGGATCAAAGCATCGGAATATGTCGATTTAGCATCAGTCATGGTGATGGGAGGCAAATGATGGAGAATCTATTTTTTTTCATATATGGCCACAGGACCTCACGATGAACAGACCATATATGGCAACAGTATTCAACGCAAGGACGAATGGTTGATTTGTAGATTTGAAGGCGAGAAAAACCTTCTGGCGATACACAGAAAACCAACTTACCTTGCGGTATTCAATTGATTCAATGTATTTGTTCCACCTCAGGTCGATGGAAAGCGTGAGACGAATAAAATGCTCATAGACCAAGGTTTTATGGCCACCGGCTGGATTTTGAAAAACCACTTCAATAGTGACGGTTGTATGCCTTTTTCAAAATAAATTTTCTAGCTCATTTCGAATCACAGGGACTTTACTTTTCGAACGTGTGTTATCATATATTTAATAATAATACTACTAATACTACTAATAATAACGAAATTAACCTATTATTGCATAAAGTTTCCTTAAAATGTATGGACCTTTTTGTAACCTACCGATCCTAGGAATGACGGATTTCAAATTTTACGTAACCCTTTCTAAAAAAAATAGGACTAATTCTGCTTAAAAACCGGTGGAATTTTGCTCAAAAGGTATCAAAGAACTGGTTGATAAATGGCAAAAAATCATTGTAAATGATGGAGAACGTATTTCTTTTAAGCATTTCACCACAAGCAAGGCGGCAGTGCCACTAGCCCGCAAGGGGTTACAGAGAGTGATAGCAAGAGTAAAGAGAGGTGTTTGAGGAAAGTATAAACAGAAGGACGGGGATCAGGATCAAGTCGTCAGAAGATGTCAGATTTACATTATATTTGAATATTTGTAGATTATCTCCATCAGGGAAGCAAGTACGAGGAAGGGAGTTCCACAGACGGGAAGTGCGAGATAAGAAGCTGTTGGAGTTGAAGAGATGGCTACATTTAGTCGTTTCGACAGTGAAAGAGTGGGACCGTGATGCCAACCTAGTAGAATGCTTAAATCCATGCAGTTGTGGTGCCAGTGAAAGTAGCTTGTCAGAGCAGTTGCCGTGAAAATATTTGTAGAAAGGACAGAGGGAAGTCACAACACGTCTGTGAGAAAGTGACTGTAGACGAGATGCCAGACCAGGATCATTAGCACGCAAAGGGTTACAGAGAGTCGGAGTGAGTGTAAAGAGGCGTGATTGAGGAAAGGATGAAGAGAAGGACAGGGAATTACATTTGAATAGTTGGAGATTATAGCTATCAGGGAAGCAAGTAAGAGGAAGGGAGTTCCACACACGGGAAGTGCGAGGCATGGAGCTATTAGAGTGGATTTAACTGTTTCCCCAGTGAAAGAGTGAGACTAAGATGCCAACCTCGTAGAACGTTTAATTTCATGCAGTTTGTGAACGAGTGAAAATATCTCGTCGAAGCTGTTACCGTGAAGGTATTTGTAGAAAAAACAGAAGGAGTTCAACGACACGTCTGTGAGAGAGCGACTGTAGAAGATATGCCAGATCAAGGCCAATTATATTGCATATCCATCTCAGGATTTCATCGAGGACCTGAACAACGAACACTACGAAACTAACAACGAATATTTGTTGACATCACAAAAGTTAGCTGAAACTATTACTCCAGTTCTCCATGGTTGTCTTCCAAATTATGTTGTCCCCATATTTTCATTAACGATCTGATCTTTAGCTCAGCTAGCAAAGTTCCTCAAATGTAACGCTGCATACATCACCATAATTATTTGACAGTTTTCATATCTTTTTTCACCTAATTTACAAGTCTGTTTATTTAAAGTACTAAGAATTTTAATTTAATTCTAAAATTAAATTTAGAGATTGTAGTTTCTGTTTTTGAAACATGATAATTCCTGTGTAGCGATGGTACCATATTTTTATATAAGTAAATTTAGAATATTTATGCTCTGCAGAATTGTATTGAGCACTGTTTTGTTTTAAATAAAAATAATTAATATGAACACCGGATTATAGATCTTACTGTTCCTTCTCATTATTTATATATATATATATATATATATATATATATATATATATATATATATATATATATATAATATAAAAAAAAGAAAAGAACAGTAAGATATATAATTCTGGTGTTCTTATTGATATTTTTATTTTTACAAAATAGTGCTCAATGTAAATTTACAGAACATTAATATTATAGATTAACTAGTTTAAAATATGTTTTTTTCGCTACACATTAATAACCATGTTTCAAAAATGGAAGCTGAAAGCTCCGAATTTAATTTTGTGATTAAATTAAACACATTAGTTCCAAAATGGAAACATGGTTATTACTGTGTAGCGAATAAACCATATTTTAAACTAGTTAATATATATATATATATATATCATTTTCTAATCTGTTCTTCCCTCGACTTTCATTGACTAATCCATTAAATCAACACGCGCACACCCCATATATAAAGGGTGTATCAAAATACTTTTACAAACTTTGGGGGCATGATTCTCACACTAAACAACGAAAAATGTTCATAAAAAAATAAGTCCGAAAATGCGACGATTTTGAGTTATTAAGTTTAAAATTTACGGTAGACTCTGTTAAACGTCCAATCCGAGATACAATTCAAAAAAATTCTTCTTATCATAGTTTATGGTGCCACAGATTATGTCCCTGTCTCAGCAACGCGAATATAAAATGCTGGATGACTCGCTTGCTTGTTTGTTCTGGAAACACAATCAGAGATAGCCGTGCAGCCTCGTGTCCATTACCATTCACGCGACTGTATGCAAAAAAAAAAAAAAAAAAAAAAACATATCTGCCTGCTCCCGATATGAATATCCTACGATTGTTAAACAGAAAACTTCTCAGTTAATTCACTACTACACGCGTTAAGCGTTGAAGACTAGTCACAAATATCCACGAATAACAAATGTAACCTAGTCTACATGACAACTTAACACCATCTACATTAAACTTTCTTTAAACTTAATAACGCAAAAACAAAGAATTTTTCCATATGTACATATGGACTTTTGTTCCTGTTCTGGTGTAAGCAATCCACTCCCCAAATTTGTAAAAGTATTTTTGATACAACTTGTGTGTGTGTGTGTGTGTGTATTATACATTCAACACCATCATTGAGAAGATACCGGAAGTGTTGAAACAAAACGGCTATTTAGTAGTTAATTTATTACATGTATATGTTATAATTTTTGAATAAATAATCATATATATATATATGTGTGTGTGTGCGTGCGTGCGTATTATTAGTTAAATTATTATAGTATTATTACTGTATATGTCTTTATTTACATTCAACGTGGGACGTAGGTTCGAATCCTGCTGAGGGCGTATATAATAACTCTAAAGGAAGGATTTGCGGACACGTTTATATGGACTTTTGTCCTTGTTCTGGTGTGAGGAACCCGCCCCTAATACTTATAAAAGTATTTTTGATTCACCCTGTATATATCTTGTAATATGTATTCCTAGAAATAAATAGCCTAGATGTGCAAAGTAGTCTACAATTAAACGATAGCGCTTGAAGACATGCACAAGCTGATGAGCACGCTTTATTGAAAGGAAACCTGCCTCCAACAAAAGAAAAGTCAATTGAAAAAAGGGAAAGGATTGTAAAACTCATTTTAAAAAAAGCGATCCTAAAATTTGCTACAAATATAAATGAAATGGTATGGTTCAAAAGTGAGAACTTTCTGGCAGACGACGAAGGACATCAGAGTGTTGGGATAGAAAACTCAAAACAAGATGCCTTTAAAATAAAAAAAAATATGCAAGACAAAAAATGAGTCGAAACGTTTCTGACAGAACTGTAAGAATCTGGCTAAATCCAATGGGATTTATTTTCTGAAGAAAAAAACAAAACAAAGCAAAGCCTGAACAAACAAAACCTGAAGAAAATGAAGTTAAAATGTGCAAAATAGACGCACTCATCGACATAATCAATTGGATTATTGAATCAAAAATCTACTTTGGCCAAGGCATGCATGATGGAACTTTTTTTCAAGTACCGTTCAAATGAAGCATAAAGCTGACTTCTTAAAGAACAAAGGCTTACAGCCGTATTACGTTGAATCAACAGTTCCCATACAATCACCTAAATTAAGCAACGTCAAGCCTGGTCAGTACTTAGATGGGTGACCGCTTGGGAATACCATGTACTGTACGCTTGGATGTTCGGCTTGTGTAATAGATAATTGTTGAAACAGAGGGAAGTTTAATGAATAGAATAATGACACGATGGTTGGTAATGAATGATAATACTCAGAACAAGAACAACGCATATAAGATTCGCCAGCGGCGCGTAGAAGTAATCAGCTGCTAGAAGTGAGTCAAGAATTCCACAATAAATCTCCAACTGTCGACCAACATACAGTATTTACTACTGTATTTATGTGAATAGGGCATCACCATTATCGTCCATAGGTATGTTACAATAATAATGGTTCGGAATTGTTAATTGGACGGAAGGGTTCCACTAGCATTTCGGTTTGTTATATTCATATTGCGCAAATACTCTTGCGAAAGGTATCAGTTCACTTCTCCCCCCAGGTATGGGTTAATTAGTATCACTAAATTATTATCTCAAAAAAGAAAAATTCTTAAAAACAAAAAAATATTTTTCAGACTTTAAATAACCTGCAAAGGGTCGTTAAACCGTGAAAAATAATCGATCAATCTTGAAGAAACAAGTGAATTTCCAAAGTCATTCATATTTGGTCGAGTGTAATTTAAGCTACCAGGCTGGACGAGAATGATTATCTTAAGAATCAATGCACATGTATATACTGAAATTCTAGATAATTTTCCCATTCCATTAATAGAAAACTGGTTTTGGTGATAATGGACTCATTTTAAAGGATGGTAGGGCCTTTTGAAAATCTCGTTTAAAGCTTTTCTTCAGGAAAGGCATGTAAAATGGATGTCATGACCAGCGAAAAGTCTGGATTTAAATTCAATTGAAAATTCTTGGCCCAATATGATCCAGGAGCAGGCTCCATCTACCGCAGGTGACCTATTGAATGCAATTCAAGAATAATGGAATCAACCCGATCAAGAATACTGCATGAAATTACAGAAACCAATGGCCGAAAGAAATAATGCGTCTTAAAAAAAAAAAAAAAAAAAAAAAAACTCGAGAAAGGACAATTAGATATTAATTCTATTTATTTTAAAATGCATCATCGTGTAAACTAATTAAAACAGGCGCCTTAGTTTCCTTTTTTCATCATACGGTCAGTTTTATACCCATTGGAGAAACAGGGTGTAATCGATTTCTATTTTCCCCTCAGATTAAGCCAATTGCAGCGGTGTGCAGTAATATGAATCTATTTCCGGAATATATGATGAAATTTGTTTGGCCTTGAAAAATATTGCGTCATCTGCGATTGCATCAGATTTTGATCACGACCAGACACTATTGTTTCGACTGTCGATTAGTTGTCCTACTCCAAGTTATTCCAAGAAAGCGTACGAAAAATTGTAATGCTGCAAGAAAACACTGCCAAGTCCTACCAGTGAGCCAATCAAAGTACTATAGTTGTCCCGGAAACTCTCCTGATTTAAATCCAATCGAGGATCTGTGGTCAATCTGCAAGAAAACAAACTTCGTGGAATGGACATGCAAATTACCGACATGTGTACTGGGTCATGTTTTGTTGGAAAAATACAAGAAAAGTAAATAATAACGGAATTCGTTTTGTTTTAATCAATTTGCACAAGGGTGTACATTCCATAATTATATCCACAATAATTGGATAAAATCCACTATATTTTCACCTGTATATAACTTTAAACAATTCAGTCTAGATTGTTTAGCAGGGTTTCCCCACCGGGCGATACCGCCCACTGGTGGTCGATTTGAACTGTTGGGTAGGCGATGAACAACTGACGGGCGACTGACTGGAAATTTTGGTGGTTGATATAGGATTTGAACTATTAAAAGTTTCAATAGCATATATTGAAATATCTTTTTTAAAGGTAATTCAATATATGCTACTCGAAAAATAATATTTAAAGGAGATATGGTAAGAACCTCTCTAACCTCCACCCCTACACAAAAAAAAACAAAAAAAAACAAAAGACAAGCAACTACCTGGGAATAAACTGTTCACATTCCAACATAAGATATAAATATCTCCACAAACAGCGAATGTTTTTTTTTTTTTTTTTTTTTTAACATTAACTCTTTCAACCCTGCGTTCCTGAACAATTCTGACCCCTCTGTCTGAGCCCCTGGGTCAAAATTCGCAAATAATTGGTATGTAATGTTTAAACTAGACATAAAAATAGTCACAAAAAAATATATATATATATATATATATATATATATATATATATATATATATATATATATATATATATATATATATATATATATATATATATATATATATATATATATATATATATATATATATATAAGCATTATACTTAGCAGGGAGAAAATATGATTTCATGCCTTCGCTTTATCGCTAGAATTCTTTGTGTCTCAGTCTACGCAAATGAGACAACCAATAGAAAAACAGGACGCAAGTGTTTACCCACCATTCAACCTGTGGCTGAGCATTGATATTTGTCTCTACCACTGGAAAAGCGGTGCTCAGGGCTCAAAGACATAAAACAGTTCTTCAGAAGAAATATATTGTTTTTTGTCTAAGATATAAATTAGTCAGAATTTTCTAAGCGTAGCTCAGATGTGGCACAAGGCCGAAAGTATGGGGCACCCAGTGAGGATCGAACTCACTACTCAGTCGTAATTGATCTAGCAAGACGAGATTTCTAACCATTACACCACCTCGAGGTGCCCTTTTCCAAGCGTAGCTCAGATGTGGCATACAGCCGAAAGGATGGGGCACCCAGTGAGGATCAAATTCACTACTCAGTTGTAATTGTTCTAGGGAGACAAGCTTGCTAACCATTACACCACCTCGAGGTGCCCTCTAAGACATAAATCAGTCTAGAGAAAACCAAGGACAAAAATAATTTGTTTTTATTAGATGCTAGTAGTGAATATTCTTTTTAATTTTATAGCTATAAAGAAAATACGATTTATTTTTTTCGTCAACAATAGCAATGTGCATAACTATAAAACTAATCTTGACCATAAAAGTAAATTATGTATAGAGTTTTCAAAGGTCAAGATTGATTTCGTTTGTACTTTTATATGGTAGTAGTTTCAGCGTTATTTATTACCTCCCTTTGGTATTTTTTACTACATTATAAATTCAGTTTATGAGCCAGTAACAAACATTTGCCAAACAATTTTCGTATGCATTTGAATATTTACTACGCAGGTGAGCGGTGAAAAAAAAATTCCATGTGAAAGTGGGAGATGACACAAAAAGGTTAGGAACCCTGGTTTAAGGCTTATTTCATGAAAACAGACGGTTCAGCTGGTATAAAAATACTTATTTGTGATTAAATTTATTTACTGCTACATAAAGAACCAAGGTAAACACCCTCTTAGTGTGTTAATTCCATGTCTGTCAAGGTACGCGGTGGGAATAAGTATAGACTCTTTGACAAACTCAAAAAAGAAGGCACAAAATTTCACATAAGCTCTCCCACCCACAAAAAAAACTGCTCTCAGACAGAAACATCCTTGTCTAATGTTTATTTGTTTTCAATAGGTGACTAACATGTATGACCTTTTGCCAGAGAAGGTTATCTCAGTGTTTTGCGGTCATTCGGTCGCCATTGAAAGTCACGAGCTACAACTGGTATGCAAATTGGTATTTATGGCTGACCGCTTGGATATGTGTGTGACTGTCTGCTATGGTGACTAGCTAATTGTTTAGGTCTATTTGTGTTTTCTTCAACAACCAGAGTGCCTACCTGTGGTTTATACTCCAACTATTTTTACCTGTCTTTAATTACGCTTTTGGGAGTTGAGCATATAATCTCGTGTGACCAATAAGGCCTGTACAATCGAACTGTTCCAAGAACCTAAGACTAGTTGTTGCCTTTCTAACTGTTTCTTCTACCCGATTTCATTCAGAAAGCTTGATTCATTCCGATATGAGGCTTTCAAGAAGCACCGAATTGTGCAAAACGCTTGTGCTGTCTCCCCCATATTGATATTATCAAAAGTCAAAAGGAAAAGAATCACAACGGCCATTGTTAGGTTATATATCGGATCTTATGTTCGGAATGCTCACATAAAAATTCGTATAGTAAATTTAATAAAGAATATTGAACACATGGCTGAATGAGTCAACATTTTATCATTCGGTCTCCGGAAAAAAAAATGAAACTATGACGTCAGAAAAGTTTAAATGAAGGAAAAGGAAGAAGTAGAAGGAAGAGGTGGAGCAGCAGGAAAACCAGATGAACAAGAAAGAGGACAAAAATAAGGAGGAGAAAGAAGTGTATGAGGAAGGGGAGGAGAAGAAGAAAAATAAGAAGGATGACCAGAAGAAGAATAGGAACAAGGAAGAGGAGAAATAAAGGGGGAGGGAGACTTGAAGAGGGAGGAGGAGGCGGAAGAGAAGGGGAAAAATGAGGAGATGAGAGGAAGAAGAAACGGCAGAATCAGTGCGAAGAAGAAGAGAATGAGAAGCAGAAGAAGCGGATGAGTAGGAGGAAGTGGAGGAGGAAGTAGAGGAGGAGGTGGAGGAGGACAGGATAAAAAGATGAAAGAGGAGAAGAAGGGGAGTTGAAGGAGGTGGATGAGGAAAAGAAGACGTGGAAGAGAAGAAGAGGAAGAGAAGAGGAAGTAGAAGGAAAAGCGGAAGAAAGGAAAGAAAAAGGAAAAGAAGAAGAAGGAAAAGAAGCACAAGAAAGGGTATAGAGGAAAAGGGGAGAAGGAGGTGGATGAGGAAGAGAAGATGCGGGAGAGAAGAAGAGGAAGAGAAGAAGAGGAAGAAGAAGGAAAAGCAGAAGAAAGAAAAGAAAAAAGGAAAAGAAGAAGGAAAAGAAGCACAAGAAAGGGTATAGAAGAAGAGGGAGGAGAAGGAGGAGTAGAAGCAGAAGGCAAACGCTTTTTCATTAAAAGATATCCCCCAGTTATGTATTAATAAACAAAGATGAATATATGTTGGTCGCGTCCTTTTTAATAAAATTAAGACCAAATGAATTCTTCTGTAATATACAAAGCGTAACATATAACCATCACTTTTAAACAAACTCTTGCAGAGAAATCATCTGTAAAGAAGACGATGCGCTA